CAAGATATTGTTTTTATGATGGTTTCAACAGCTCGCTCCACACCCATACAAACTGTCCCTGCCTTCCAAATTAAGTCATACAGGAACGGTTGTCCACCTGCTTTGATAAGAATTTCTATTTGGTCCGTTTTGTTCAGATGAATGGCTTCAGAGAGCATTGATGTCAACTGTGCTTCGTTAACATTTGATGAGAAAAGGAAGAACCGAAACATGTTCAAGACACAATGATGTAACGCATATTGGACAACTGTCCCGTCGATTTGTCCAGCCATTCTTTTGATGGCAATACTTTCACTTAACCTCTTGTGTTTTGTTTCAAGTATTGCTTTTATCAGACGACAGTGATGATCTTTTAACTCTGGGGACTGAAAAATCGTATGTAGCGTGTTAAAGTCCATTCCCTCAGCGGCAGTTATCATCTCTTTGGTACTCATACTTGAGATGTTAGTATCTTTTGTGTTTACGTATGTTTTCTGATTAAGATACTTATTTCGTATCATATCTGCGTTGCACGTGTTCGTACATTTCTGCAGCATTTCACGAGTATGTGTTTTGTCGTCAATGTGCATGCTGACTTCTGATTTTGTCCAGATATTCCTTGAAAATACTAACTCTGCTAAAGCCACATCGTGTGAACCAATTACTATATGGAGACATTTTTCAGTTAAGACCGCCCCATTTGCAAGCAAAAACGTAATGGATGTCCTGTTGTTGTGTTCCAGTGATCGCCGCAATGTTGTTTGCAATGTTCTCGTAAAGAACAAAATACCACTTTCCCTGACGATGAACTCGTCAACTTTGAATTTGAAAAGAGACTTCAAAAAGAAAACATTGTTCGCACAAGATTCTAATAGACTTTTCGCGGAAGAAAAGTCATCACCTAAATGAGCTCTATGGAAAGCTCGCATGTCTCCACTTTTGTTGATATACTCGAAGAGACGATCNCCAAGATATTGTTTTTATGATGGTTTCAACAGCTCGCTCCACACCCTTTCAATAATCATCTTGTAAATTCGCTTTACAAGGTGCTCAAAACAATCAGTAGGAACATGCAAGGTGCACATGTCGGTTTGATCAGTTTCAGAAACATCCAGCAGTTCCAGTATCACGCGGTTGCTACATTTTTCTAAAATTATTTCTGGATTTTCTTTTCCAAAGACAAGACTAACACTGTCCGCAATTGATTGATGACCAAATGTGAACACAGAGTTTTGCCTCGTAAGATACGTACGATCTAGAGCGTAAAGTCCGTTTTTGAGCAGAGTTAATGCGTTGTCAATCTGAATATCGCCACAAACTTCTGCATAGCTTTTCAAAGTCTCATAATCTTCCCTTGATATTTTGAGGCGATTGAGTTTTTTACTGTCTACAGTTTGATCGTTTAAGAAACAGTATACCAATGCAAGGTATTTGTGCGGTTCTGTCAGCCTCATTTTTTCTATTTCTTCTGTCAGTATTCTATCGGGCTTCATAAAAAACTGTTCACCTTTCTCAAAAAATTTATCATTGGTGACAAAAAGCTTACAAACTTGAGCAAAACCCAAAGAAATATTTGGTGGAAAACTATGAACTGAAACGGTAGACAAGCCGCCTTGGTCAACCTTTCTCTGGCGATAATAATTATGGTAAATGTCCGAACGTTCAGTCGAAGTCAATTTCTGGTCGTCAGTCAAATCTACGGTTTTCCTTTCGGAAAGAATGTGGTCATTTACCATTTCAACGAATACCCCTGATTCCCGTCTGGCATCTTTGAGTATGTGCGTACGAGACGTTAACACCAAACAAACATTTTTCTCCTGTAAACAATCTAACATTCTATCAAAGAATGGTTTCCAACCATTCAGAAGCCCTGTCTGATAATTTGTCTTCCCGAATATGTCATCTACAAACACAATGATATCATCTTTGTCATTCACGACATCATTCCAGTCTTGAGGAATAGTCATGAGGACGGGTGTTTTGGGTTTGATATCTTTGTCAAGGGTACCGTCTCTTAACTGTTTACATATTTCCCTACCCAGGGTTGTCTTCCCCTCTCCCGTAACGCCAGCTATGACCACCATGTTGTAGTCTTTCAGACGCTTGACTACTGCCGCTACAGCTCCCCTCCTAGTCACCAGTAATTTGCCTGTTTCCAGGATGTGCCGTTTTAACATCACTTCAGTATTTTCTGGAAAAAATGAAATGGAAGTTCACAAATAGTAGTTTTAATACGATTACATATGTATTCCTGTATTAATAATAGAATAACATAAGAGTTTAATGCAAACAGAGATAATCGTATTTTGCCTTGTGTGTAATGTTGATGTAAAGTTGTTCAACGCCGCTTCATAAAATGATGTTGAGGTATCGAAGTTGTTTTACTTTCGAAAGTTGATACGGTCAAAATTGGTGTAGCAAGTGATCAGAGATATTTGATCAATTAGAGGCAATATTTCCAATATTACAGCAGAGAATGTTTCATCATGAAGAAAATCTAGACGTATATTTATGTATTAGTTCATGGAAAAGAATGACTGTATGAGCATGCTTGACGATGACGCTTTGTTTTTACGAACAAGCTCATCGGAAAGTCGTTCAATAATATTCAATGGTCCTAAGGATTAGACAATTCTGGCGTAGGACAGCTTCCTTACGTTTTCTAGACAACAAATACTAACAATGCCTTCCCACATCTATCACAGAATACTCAGTTAGGCCGGGTTGTGTACGGAATCTCTCGATCAAGTAATGTTGGTCTCTGCTCTGATAAAATGATAGCCTAGATTAAGACGATATAGTAGAGGTGATACAGCGAGAATCACAGCAGGAAGTTTGATCATAAAGATATAAATAAGGAGCGACTAACGTCTTACTAACCTATTCCGAAGTATTTATCAAATCTGTCAATGGTTTGTGTCTAAAAGACCGCAAAGTATAAATAATTGTGACGCAGGGCATTTACTCGACACAACAACCATCAGATAAAGAATTGTGATTAAGGTTTATTTACTCGACACAACTACCATCAGATAATGACTTATGATGAAGGGTTATTTACTCGACACAACTATCATCAGATAAAGACTTGTGATGAAGGGTTATTTACTCGACACAACTTCCATCAGATAAAGACTTGTGATTAAGGTTAATTTACTCGACACAACTACCCTCAGATAACGACTTGTGATGAAGGGTTATTAATTCGACACAACTATCATCAGATAAAGACTTGTGATGAAGGGTTATTTACTCGACACAATTTCCATCAGATAAAGACTTGTGATTAAGGTTTATTTACTCGACACAACTACCCTCAGATAACGACTTGTGATGAAGGGTTATTAATTCGACACAACTATCATCAGATAAAGACTTGTGATGAAGGGTTATTTACTCGACACAACTTCCATCAGCTAAAGAATTGTGACGAACGTTTATTTTTTCGACACAACTACCATCAGATAAAACCTTTGATGAAGTTTATTTACTCAACACAACTTCCATCGGATAAATATTTAATTGTGCTGCAGGTTTATGCACTCGACACAACTTCCATCAGATAAAGACTTGTGATGAAGTTTATTTACTAGACATAACTACCATCAGATATAGACTGATGATGAACGTTTATTTACTCGACACAACTCCTTTCAGACAAAGACTTGTGATGAAAGGTTATTTACTCGACACAACTGACATCAGATAAAGACTTGTAATGAAGGTATATTTACTCGACATAATTGTCATCAGATAAAGACTTGTGATGAACGTTTATTTACTCGACACAACTTCCATCAGATAAAGACTTATGATGAAGAATTATTTACTCAACACAACTACCATCAGATAAACACTTGTGATGAACGTTTATTTTTTGACACAACTACCAGCAGATAAAGACTTTTGATGAAGTTTGTTTACTCATCACAACTATCACCTGATAATGACTCAATTGTACTGCAGGTTTATTTACTACTCGACACAACTTCCATCAGATAAAGATCTGTGATGAAGGGTTATTTACTCGACATTACTAACATCAGATAAAGACTAAATTGTGATGAAGGTTTATTTATTCGACCAAACTAGCATCAGAAAAAGACTTTTGATGGAGGTTATTTACTCGACACAACTTCCATCGGATAAAGACTTGTGATAAAGGGTTATTTACTCGACAGAACTACCATCAGATAACATCAGATAAAGACTTGTGATGAACGTTTATTTACTCGACACAACTTCCATCAGATAAAGACTTGTGATGAAGAATTATTTACTCGACACAACAACCATCAGATAAACACTTATGATGAACGTTTATTTTTCGACACAACTAACAGCAGATAAAGACTTTTACTGAAGTTTGTTTACTCATCACAACTATCACCTGATAATGACTCAATTGTACTGCAGGTTTATTTACTACACGACACAACTTCCATCAGATAAAGATCTGTGATGAAGGGTTATTTACTCGACATTACTAACATCAGATAAAGACTTAATTGTGATGAAGGTTTATTTATTCGACCCAACCACCATCAGATAAATACTTTTGATGGAGTTTATTTACTCGACACAACTTCCATCAGATAAAGATTTGTGATAAAGGGTTATTTACTCGACAGAACTACCATCAGATAAAGACCTGTGCTGAAGGTTTATTTATTCGACCCAGCTACCGTCAGATAAAGACTTTTGATGGAGTTTATTTACTCGACACAACTTCAATCAGATAAAGACTTGTGATGAACGTTTATTTACTCGACACAACTTCCATCAGATAAAGACTTGTGATGAAGAATTATTTACTCGACACAACTACCATCAGATATACACTTGTGATGAACGTTTATTTTTCGACACAACTACCAGCAGATAAAGACTTGTGATGAAATTTGTTTACTCATCACAACTATCACCGGATAATGACTCAATTGTACTGCAGGTTTATTTACTACTCGACACAACTGCCATCACATGACATCAGATAAAGACTTGTGTTGAAGGTTTATTTACTTGACACAACTCCTTTTAGATAAAGACTTGTGATGAACGTTTATTTACTCGACACAACTACCATCAGATAAAGACTTAATTGTGATAAAGGTTTATTTATTCGACCCAACTACCATCAGATAAAGACTTTTGATGGAGTTTATTTACTCGATACAACTTCCATCAGATAAAGACTTGTGATGAAGGTTTATTTACTCTACACAACTACCATCAGATAAAGACTTAATTGTGATGAAGGTTTATTTATTCGACTCAACTACCATCAGATAAAGACTTTTGATGGAGTTTATTTACTCGACACCACTTCCATCAGATAAAGACTTGTGATGAAGGCTTATTTACTCGACACAACTACCACAAGATAAAGACTTGTGATGTACGTTTATTTACTCGACATAATTTTCATTGGATAAATACCTGTGATGAAGGTTTATTTACTCGACACAACTTTCATCAGATAAAGACCTGTGATGAAGGTTTATTTACTCGATACACTACCATCAGATAAAGACTTGTGATGAAGGATTATTTACTCGACACAACTACCATCGAATAAATAATTGTAATGAAGGGTTATTTACTAAATACATCTATATTTATTTGATGTTACCTTCAAGCAGAATTCTTTTGGGACTTTTCATCCTCTGTTTTGGAATGTCCTCGTCTTTGTTATCACCTTCCTGGCCTGAAAGGAAATGAAAAATCGCTTCCAATCACCTATACAGTCTTATCCTACGTGGGTGTCCATTTGAAAATTTGCCAGTATTCTTTTTCTATAGTGATCCTTTCTGTATTTCGGTTACACATAAATGTAATCAACAACGACGAGTAATTAACAAAATTACAGCTACTTAGTAAAAGCTCAATGGCATTGAAAAAAGTATCGAAAACAAATGCAATCAAATATCAAACAATTCGCTACATTTTTCTTTTGCAGAAATGTTGAAAACTGTTTTATTTGAAGATTAGATATGTACAAACCAGTATGGATGATGGTCTGTTCTCCTGTGCATACATTTTCAGCGTTTTTCACCCTCATATTCTCAACGCAGATCTTTTCATTATATATTTTGTTGTCATGGTAATTGATCACCACTGAAAGATGCGTTCAATATATATATTAAAAGAAAAGTAGGAACCAAACTTAATTTGAATAGCTTATTACAGTGTATCTTACCTTAGACAATTAGCACAGCAATATATATTTTGTGATATATACTAGAATATGTATAGGTTAAATGGAACAATTCAGTTCTGATGTTAACTATCCAATTTTTAATGCATCTACTATTTTGCAAAAGTGTTTCGTTAATTTACCTTGAGGTACAATGGTTGTTTTGGCAATTGCTCCGGAAGAAGGTCCAGGTATTGCTACTGCGCCTGCGTACTCGTCTGTGTGAGTACTTTCTGTATCGGAAGGATTGCTGACAGGTAGAAAAAAAGTCCATAACCCGACTGATCCTATCCGCACTATTTAGGGTAACGTTACTGTCTACAAAATAATGCGTTCCCATTTCTGTTAATTATTGTTTCTAAGATTCACATTTTCATATTTTATCTTGGTACATTTGTAGAAACATCACAAAATATAAGTGTTACAATATTTGCAATATTAATATATTTCGTTCTCAGCAACCCTGAGGGATGTCATAGCTGAAGCGAAGGCTCAGGGTGCAATACCCTGTAGATGAGACAAAGAAGACTTGTTTGATCCTTTTATGTACATCAAAAGAACCTTTCAGTCGCGTAACAGTTTAATTGACTGTCTTTGAGGTCTGGTTTCACTCCTCTGTAATCTTGAAAGGACATAAGCTATGATGATGGATTTTTTTTCTGAGACCAGTCCAATAGCTTGCCCCGTGCCTTCAATTTTTGCCATGACATATTCCAGGGGTGCAAAAATGTGCATAACCCCTGGAGTATCGCGGATGCTAAGTCTCGTTACATTGACGTAGCACCAACAAATTGTCTATTTTACTAAGTAATCTTTATTTTCGCTGTTAGTAGATCAAATCTAAAAACAATCTAATTTACAAGTATCCAACGTAGTAATCTATGTTTTAAAATAGTTATTGATATGTATTTATAAACGATACACTGTTTAATGATCGTATTTACCTAGATGTATGCTGACGTCATCATTTTCTTCAGGCTCGTCTGGAACCGACTGTAATGAACAAGGGTTTTACATTGAATATTCATAAAACTATATTATCCCTCACGATTATAATATATTCGTCCGAATATAAATCAATTAAATTCAAGTGATCACACAAGAGATAAATGGGATGATAGTTCGTTGCTCATTCATTTACTATAACCCACAACCAGATACAAACCACACCTGATCACTATATCCTACCCCCACTGTCCAACATACGTCAAAAATAATTGCATTTAAATGCGTCGATAAAAAACAACCTGACTCTATGTATAAGAAAAATATCATTTATAGACACGGTGATGAGCAACGAACTCGAAAAGAGCACCTAGCGAGTGCTCCCTTCATATGCCATACACCACCTGACATCCACCCGACACGTCCTCAACCCAAAGTACTTACGGAAACACCCTTAGTACATGCTTACTAGATGGTTGCCTATATCTTAAGATACAATGTATGAATCATTTTTACTGTAACAAATAATTTTAAAAAAAACGCGCAAGTGCTATTTAGTTTTATCGCGATTGACGTCTCTTTTCGTATGTAATTTATGAATAAACTCTAGCCGAGATAACGTTTCATTTTACGCGTCAATGTTGTCAGCGTTTAAGTCAGTTCAGAGAGGTTTTTGCAACGGTCTTTGATTTAATTCTAACGGAACATATACCTAAATTTAAAAGAAATACAAATAAGAATAGATAACGTTAAGTAGGGTTAGTTCTTAGATACACGTACCCGTTGACCTCTCTTTCCTGGCCCTGGGTTTGGTTCAATCCCGTGTGCACGCAGGAGGAGATCAATGAATGTAACAGCCCCTTTGCTGTTCAATCCATCTTGTCGTATCAGGCCGCCCCGAACACTGGCGATAGCTTTACACAGGTAGTCAATGTTTGACACAATACCCTTCACTGGTCGAGGCACAAACTGACCGACTCGTGAACGGTACACTGCCAAATCCACGCTCATTTTTTCCTAAAGTAAAATATTGTATTGTAATTGTGTTTATTTGGTTAAAAACAAGTTATAACACTCAGTTGACATAGATATGAGGTCGATCATAATCAACGAATCGATATATACTGTAGCACACTTCATGCTGAATATGGAAGAATTTGGTTCAGTTTGGCATTATTTTGTTTAACGTCTTATTAAAAGGTAAGGTCCTTTAAACACATGCCTCCATGTGTGTGTGTGTGTGTGTGTGTGTGGATGTGCCCCGATGTGTGTATGTGTGCAAGTGTTTATGTGCGCTGGAGACGGTATGTTGATGTATTTGCCTCCTTGCCTCTGTGTGTGTGTGTGTGTGTGTGTGTGTGTGTGTGTGTGTGTGTGTGTATGTGCGTGTGTGTGTGTGTGTGTGTATGTGCGTGGATCTGTGGATGTTTGCATGTGTTTATTTGCGCTGGAGACGGTATATTGATGTATTTGCCTCCTTTTCATAGCACGGATCTGATTCCGACTCCATAGTTCTACCTAACTGAAATACCATGAAAAAGGCATCCTGCATAGTATTCCAGCAGGTCACATAATACTGACAAAGGATAAACCAGTTCTTGCCTTTATACTTAATCCTGAACGTTAAGCAGGGACTAACAACTACCAGTTCTAGGATTTAGGTGTGTCCCTGCCTGGGGACAGAACCGATAGCGCGGAATGTTTGACACTGATGCCGAAAGTGAGGCATTATCAAACAAGGCGCTAGGAAACAAAGAGTAATTAGGCAGTAGAGAGAAAATTCAAAGATCCCAATCTTGCGATGGGTGCTGCAGATTGACTTTGGTCATTTTTACCTAAATAGAGAGCACAAAAGTAATTCCCAAGTTCTGGTAAGTGGTTACTATACTATAGTTGCCTCTTACAACATCACCCTCGATACTCTAGGAGGGATTATCTCACTTTCGTTCTCTGCACCCCTGGACATAGCAAAATCGAAAACTCAATTTGCAAAACCTTGTGGATAAGATGAAAATATGAGTTGAACCCTTTGATGTACCTAAAAAGAATCTTTCGGTCGCGTAACTGTAAAATTGACTGACTTTGAAGCCGGGTGTCTCCATGCTGTTATCTGCAAAGGACATGTATTTGCTTTAGCGATAGGTCAGGTCTTTTTACCTTGAACAATCAAATAGCTAGCAACGTGCCTTCAATTTTGCTTTCACATGTTCCAGGGTTGCAGAGAGCAACAGTGAACGTAACGCTTGAGTATCGAGGATGTTACAACATGCAGTACGTGGGTAACAGAAAGTGTTTTCTCAATCCCCGTATGTATAACATATATATGTGTCGCAAACCATGATACATTTTACCGTTCATAAAACTGTTTGTTGATTATTTTTATTTATCATAAATATCTCTCATTTATCTGACATCATTTGTAGGGTAAGATTATTCCGATATAAATGCGCAAAAAGCCTCTAAAAAAACTTAAAATTAACTTGAAACATCTTTAGTTCATTTTAATGTGAGAGATTCTAAGAAAAAAAACAATTTCTTTTCTAAGTAATTTTGATTTTCATAAGAGTATAATACCACTGAAATAAACTATGTCATATTTAATACCTACTACTTTTAAATCATTCATGTGACCGCGATACTATGCAATCACTTTCATAAATTTAGAAAGCAATGTGCACATAATTGAACAAATAAAAGGGTGGTATTTACATGACGTCTTTGCAAAGATAAAAAAATGCAGACGTGAAGAGGTGAGTTTTTATGTCCCTCTTGAACTTGGCCAGGGTATTTGACTTCCTAATAGCAGATGGTAAGCAATTCCACAACGTAGCCGAAACCCTCCCAAAGCATATGTTTCCGCAGGTCACAGTGCGAGATTTTGGGACACACAACAAAGATTCTGACTCCGACCGCAGTGATCTTGACAGGATAACAAGCTCCTGTAGGTACTTAGGAGCTGTTCCATTCAGTGCCTTGTATGTGTATACCATAATTTTGTACTGTGACCTGTATCGTACAGGTAACCAGTGCGACGTATAAAGCGCAGGTGTGATGTGCTCTCTATTTCATGTACGAGTAACTAGCCGTGCTGCAGTGTTCTGGACCCTTTGCAGACGACTAGTTAGTTTGTCAGATATACCACAGAGCAGGGCGTTACCATAATCCAACCGAGAGGTAACAAGTGAATGCACCAAAATCTTGCATGCATCTGCAGTTAGAAACTGCCGAATACAGCCGATGTTCCTGATCTGGTAGTAACAGGATTTGGCAATAGCGTTCACTTGTTTCTCCATGTTCAGAGAACTGTCAAAGTATACCCCTAGGTTTTTAACAGTTGGAACAGTCTCAATAGTTCTGGCACCAACCTTGGGCTGGAGAGCCATTGTTTGGTGACACTTTGGGGAAAAGACGATTAGTTCCGTTTTTAACATTTGCATGTTAACTTTTCAGACTGATGTTATAAACGAAATCGCCGACAGGCAGCCATCTTGGTTTTTCACAGTGAAGGTTTGTTATCGCTTTTTCTCAGGAAGTGCCTGATGGATCTGTTTCAAATTTCATATGTTGGTGTCCTTTGATCCGTAGTTGTGCATGTTTACTTTTTAGACTAATCTGATAAACAAAATGGACGAGAGGTGGCCATCTTGGAATTTGACAGCGAATGTTTGGTATCGCAATTTCACAGGAAGTACTTGAAGGATCTTTCTCAAATTTCATATGTAGGTTTTGTTAGTCTGTTTCTTAACATGTTCAATTTTGCGATGGTTTGGATAAAAACCATGGTAGATAAGGGCTATCTTGGATATTTGAGAGTGAATGTTTAATTTTGTTTTTTTGTCAGGAAATACTGAAAAGATCTTTTTCAAATTTGTTCCGCAGCTTTTCATTAAATTTGAGATTGGAAAGAATGGAAACAAAATGGTTACCTCAAGGTGCATTTACTGTTTACATGACTTCATCGAAGAAATAAGAGAAAAGAAGAGAAAAGATCGAAATGACATAGAACTAATGAAGATGACACAATGGTAGGCGACAAGATCCCCCTGGACTCTCTTGTATTATTCGGTCCTTTTTTACGATTGATACAGAGGGTTATATTAATCATTAAAAAAGAAATTAATAAATATAGATAGATGGTAAAAATTTAGTGTATGTTTATGCTACGCCACTGTTATCTTATCAGTGAAACAACATATACTGGGTGCAAAGGAGGTTCAGTAAATGGCATGTACTAATGTATAATCAGATATAGATTTCTGTGCTATTTTAAGATTTAGATAGATAAACTGTTTTTCATCCTGGCTCATGTCAGCTGAAAATGTTTTAGTCGCCCATCTCAGTTTTCCTTTCATTAACAAATGGTAGAAACAGTTTGGTTATAGAGTACAACGAAAAATCCTTAAATGGCCTTTGGTCAAACTCTTTGATTAAAATAAAGTTCCTTTAGTCAGGAATGTGATATTTGAACACGTAAATTTGTGCTTGTGCACAGCCTTGGATATTTAAAATAACGAACAGAACATCTGTACTGGAGTATCAATGGATGGAGTAATATCGAGAAAATTGTAAGGAAATGCATTAAGGGTCCAGAAAGGTAAAATATATTCACATGTGATCTAAGACAAATGAAAACAAAACTAACAAGGCTTACATGGAACGCGTGTAGTGATCCCAGTACAAAAGTTCTCACTCATGTGATCTGGCTTATCTAGTATGATCAGCCTTGTTAGCTTAATGATCTGTTGTGATATTTTCAATTGAAATACATGTACATTATGTTGGAATTTTTAAACATATTCTCGAAAAACGTAACTTCATGGATACTTCAGGTATACATATATAATGTTATTGTTTGTTAACATGTGATTTATGAAGCTGTGCAAGTGAACACATATTCTGCACTCAAAGGTCACTTACAGAGAAGAAAAAAACAATACGTAAACAAATTGTTTTACCAATAGTGTTTCATAGTTTTCGTCCATCCATATTCTTAGGTAATAAGACGAGCCCTTTACAATTGTTTTACAATGACACGAGCCTTGCCTTATGAAATATCTAAATAAATCTCCCAACAAGCCTTTACATACAACATTTGCATAATCCGATTTAACTTACGGGTTAGCTTCGTCTTCCTAGAATCTTAGTAATCATCTACTAAAGCCTTTGTTAACGTCCATGATGTGTCGTAGCAATATGCTACTGGTTAGTATTGTATACAACATGTACATACGTTAAGGCGCTCCACACTACACGGACACACTGAACGATATAAGATTACATAAGCAGATATAAATACATTTCAAATGCATTTAAATCTATACACCATACATTGTGCAGGTTGCCGATTTTTGTGTATGTTGGGTGAGCTTGTACATAATGTATTTACATGACGTCTCCCATAAAGAGTCAAAATTACAGATGAAAACAAGTGGGTTTTAATATCTTTCTAAAATCTGGCAATAGTTAAGGACTTTCTTGTAGCAAGTTGACAATATGAAAGCGACGTCGATTCGGCCACGCTACAAGCGCATACTTACTTAATTGTTATAAATGTACGAAATGACGGATAAAACTATTATAGCGTTGTCGAATCGACGTCGAATTTATATCGCCAATTCGTTCATGCGCTAGACTGGTCATTTGTCTGATGATGGTGACAGAGTACATACCGTACCTGCCATTGAAACGTCACGTATACCCACTTACATACGAATCCTAGGAAAATGTTGAGAAATTATGTTGGAGACTTTTACAATCTGCCAAATTCTGCATTGTAAGAGTTTTGATGCATTGAATTATTTTCAGTATCAATTTAATCCATTACAAAATAATAATTTGTATTATGAACTGATTAAAGCTGTAATAAAAGCAGTTTATTACCTTCATAGCTCGGCCTATAACTCATCGAAGTGGAACGTTTTAAACCATATTTTATTTTTTTCTATGAAAATTTCAGCCAAAACGACGTAATTTTTGCACACAAACTAATGACGTAACAATCAATACCCGCCCACAAGACCATATAAATCTGCAATGCGAAAAGACAGAATAGTGATATAGTGATATTTAACATAACGAGATGGATAGACATATTTCTCTATAATCTGTAATATAAATGTAGGCCTTGTAGATAACAGGGACTCATTGTACTTTAATTTACATTAAGCTCAATAATTGTCGTGGGTTTCGATTCCCAACTATAAGCTCGTGACAACCTCGACCTTTACCAATATTTAAGAGCTTATATACGTTTTTTTCCCTAGAAATGATGGCTGCTATATCTGCTGAAGCAGACGCTGACCTTTCTGGATCATATGGTTTCTCATCTGTAGATGGTGTTGTGTATGATGCTTTTCCTTTTGGTTGGGTGTACCCTCAAGTCCCGAGTTGTCTATTCGTATCGAAATCTCTAATTTTGGCTTTGTGTATTGAAGTTGTAGCATATTTAACACACATTGTTTGGTCTTGATCTCTGACGATTACGATATGCTATAACTAATTATCCTTTATTTTCTATATAATTTTCTTGATATTTATTCATTTATTTTATTATTTACATATTTACTGTTGCGACAAATTTGCAATATTGAAGTGTATTGCAATGTTAGACTGAATTATATTCTCATGATCAAACAACGAAAAAATTGTAGTAAAACTCCTTATTGGAAATTTTATTTTTTTAACCCCAAAATATTATTACAAAATTGCATTTGCAAAAATTATAAAAATAACATGCCTTTTACATATAAAATATAATTTGATATATTAGGAAATGCCAAAAAATTATATATTGAGTTCTCTAAAATACATGTACATCAATAGGAAACGATGCTTAAGTGATGATCTTGCATTCGTGTCCATGTCATATTGAATTTATTGAACGAGTTTAATAATAACAATAATAGTCTTTATTTCAACTTGATGACATATTGAGGCAAAGATTCGTCTTACATAGCATATGGTCAAGCATGATAAATGTACACTTTCACAACAAAGTAACAACAATTATAAAACAACACAGAATCTGTGTAAGATAAGTAAACATGTACAGAATATCACAGTCATTGCTAATCATGTCCTATCTAGATAATAAATAGTAAATAATATAGCATCATCACAGACTTCGGGATTAAAACTAATAATTTAATAATGGACGCTTGCATGTCACACAAGCGTTCCTATCTGTTAAAAAACAAATTTGACATAATGAATTTAACAAATTCAATATGATATGGACACGAATGTAATATTCTATTTATCACAACACTCTCAGCTGTTTCTATGTAGTTAAAACCAAAGTACTCCGATCAAAGTATTGTCATTCCGCGTAGTGCAAAGTAGTTCCAGATTTGTTTCCTTTTTTTTCAATATTGATAAGTATCAAATGAAATGAAAAGAATAATAGCAAAAAAACCATTTCACATTCATTTAAAATAACAGTAAATGTGTTATGTGGTAAAGTAAATAAAAGTAGTACCTTTAAATTTAGTGGCATATATGTTCCCAAGGTTTTGACCAATCACATCACCTTTAAGTTTTCTTTTTTTTCTTCAAATATTTACATTTATCTTTAAGTTTTGTTACACATGTGTTATACCAAATTTATACATGACCGTATGTCACTGACCGATTTTACTATATATGACTGGCAGTTTTGTGATAAAACTCTTCATGTAATTCCATATTTAAAATCTGTTGCTTCACAATAAGTAAAACAACAAGTACAGTTATCAGTTGAAAATACAACTATCACTTTTTTTGTAAAACGTTTCAGTTTATACACAAAATAAAATAATAAAAAGGTCACTTCGCCAGATAAGTTAATGTTTTGCATTAAATACGTCAAATTGTAGAAAACAAACCAATACATTTATACACACTTGATCCACTGGCTTCAATGTGGAATTTGTTAGAAAATGTTTCCTTTAATACACTAATACACCTATTCCTGAACAGGGTATTTGTTGATATTCAAATCCTCTTATAAAAGCACGTAAAATGTATTCAAGAGAAATATGTGTTTATCAAACGTTATCACCAACACATTTTAACAGGGTATTTCGTGACCTTACGAAGCATTGTATGTTTAACAGAATTATAAATGAAAGGAATATGTATACAAATATAAATAATGATAAATCTAATAAAATTATTGTAAGCTAAAACAATACATCATAAACCTCCATTGTTCATGCTACAGTCTGCATGTAGACTAATGAAACATAATAACAAAAATAAACAAAAGCTCCAAACTAACAATCGAAGTTAAAAAACAAATACTTACTTCTAATTTATCATTGCTCCGGAGAAAAAAAACCGAAAACGTGCAACGTCCCTAGACCTTACTCACACAAAGAGGCATTGATATCATTGTCTTAAGAATGAATTATGATTAAGATTGTTCATAGGCCCATTATAAATAATAAAAATATGAATTCGAGGTTCTTATATACCGCTTTATCACAACCTAGTAAGAAGGTCTTCTCAAAGCAGTTCACAAATTATAATCCGTGGGTATAGGGCCTTTGCCCATATCTTTCTCAACTCCCTGGAGCATACAGTAGGTGCTGCCATTTCAGCGCTCACAGCGTTCATTCAACAATTCTAGCACTGCCCATCCACGTACTCATTTACAGTTGAGTAGACTGGAACAAGCGGAGTAAAGTATCTTGTTCAAGGATACAACACAGTTCCGTCACGTGACTCGAACCCGCAACCCTTCGGTCACAAGCCCGGAGTCCTACCACTAGACTACCGCGTCTCACATATCAATAAGCCAGCTTCTCAAGACTTGTTAGAGCCCGTGTTGTTTTATTTCTATAACTATTTTAACCAAAAGTGGTAGACCAAGTGCTCTTATTCCAGACACTAACGACGTCACCGAGAGGCAACACAGCCACTTATTACTGCGTATCATACATATCTAGTAAAACATAGGTTTTCGCTTTTAAAAGGGAATCAAGCCAAGTGTAAATTCAAATGCACAGCTAGAACCTACTTATACACACTTCAAAACAATTTAAATTTAGGACGTATTTGACTTTCGTAACATAATAATGAAAATTGGTTAAAAAGCACCTGTAAGCCATATACTATAAGCCATGTACTTATACCAGGAAGATATATCTTAATAGCGTTTACAATATTTCTAAGTACATATACTGTAAACGAACATTTTTAAACAGTAATACTATATAAGGTCTTTTCGTCCTTTTTTTTCAAAGCATGATGAATTACAATTACAATTATTGAATTCAAGTTATACAAAATGTATGTACAATTAATGCTTTTTTTAGACAGCTATAACACTAAAACATACTAGATTCCAAATTGTAAATGACCACGCATGTACCGAATACACTTGGAAGAGTGTATTTCTCACGCAATCTTTTCACGAGTGTACACAACAGTTAGATACCATACTCATAGACATTTAAAATGCCGGTTTATCTCATGTAAAATATTAAAACATTNTAGATACCATACTCATTGACATTTAAAATGCACGTTTATCTCATGTTAAATATTAAAACATATTTTGTTACCATAAACCTGCAGTGTTCCCTCCGTCCTGCTTTCATCCGTTCTTGGACCACACTCCAAACAATAATCAAACACAGTTGTCTTGTGTCTCGTGTATAGGATTGGCTACATCCCATCAACAAAGCATGCCTGCATCAATGTTATGTATACCAAAAACACGTAGCAGGTTCAAAAAAATAACACTGTAACTTCTATTTACACATCAGTATAAAACCAGTTACTTCATATTAACGTTCATTCCGACCGATCAGATGATTCCCAATATGACCTCGACATACAAACACACTCTAAAAAAATATCAATATTTACACTACGTATTTTATGGTATGCTAATAATGACATAACTTTATGCTGTACCTCATCCCAAAAATTCAGTGGATGCAATATTGGCACGAATGTTGTCAGGTACTCCTTACACTATGTTTATATTGTCAAATAAACATTATGATTTTGTATTGTCAGGTACTTCTTAACACTATGTTTACGTTGTCAAATAGACATTATTTTTATGTATTGTCAGAGATGAAAGTAATACACAAACATCAATTTACACTGCATCATAAATACTAATGCCTTACCGATTGTCATACATGTAACATCCCAATGCTGTACCTTTTGTCATACATGTACCTTCCCAATGCTGTACCCCTTGTCATACATGTACCTTCCCAATGCTGTACCCCTTGTCATACA